CGCCCCGCCCCGCGCTACCTCCCGCCCCGCCCACTGGCCCACCCAGCCGGAGGAGGTGGGAGCAGAGTAGGAGGGGCCGTGCGGCACCAGAACCTGTAGGAGCCGGTAACTTGTCCGGACCCTCTCGGCACCCCGCGTCTTCCGCCCTCTCAGCACATAGGGCTTCTCGGCCCCACATCTCCGCTTCCTTCTAGCCGCGCGCCCCGCGTTTCCTGCACGCTCTTGCTCGCTGATCTGCAGTCCACACTTTACCCGCCGGACCCCGAAGCTCCCGAGCCCTGAACCGCCCGGCCGGAGATCGGGGTCGCCTGAGGTCGGCCTAAGAGCCGCTGTATCCCTTGTCTACTGCTTGGCCAGCAGCCCGGCTCTTCGGAAACCACGGCCCTCCTCGCCTTTCTTTTGCGATAACTTCCTTCAGTCAGTCCAGATGGCGAGAGGCTGTTAAATAAACTTTCTTAAAGGAAAAAAGGGTTAAGTGCAGCTTATGATCTAAGGATTCCTTCCTCACCTTATGGTTCAGTCATCGCACACAGGCACAGGATCACAGAATGCATTTAATAAAGCCAATTTTCCCCCTGTTCCTCTGCGTGGTTAAAAACAGAGGGTTTTGAAATTTGGGAAACATAGTTTCCAATCTGGATTCCACCACTCATAAATTATATGAACCTAGACATAAACTTCTCTGGGCTTCAGTTTCCTCATGTGTAACATGAAGCTATTGAGAACAACCTTAGGTTACTGTGAGGATAAAATGAGATAATGTGTGTAAAAGCTTGTAGAAACAGTACCCAGCACGTACAGGGAAGGCTTGTAAATAGTTGTTAACATTAGGGTTTCATCCCATTTCATTCACATCTACTGACAACACCATGAGTTCCACTGTAGAAGGAAGGAATTCTTCCGTTTTGATCCTGGCCTAACATTTAGGTCCTAGCCTAACGTTTAGGTCCTGCAATTGGCATTCAAGTATTTGTTGCAATGAAAGTAATACCTTTTTAAAAATTGTGACACTAGAAGCTTCTTTCAAAGAGACTAGTTGCTAATAAAGGAAAGGATGTAAATTGGTTGCTATCCCCATTTTACAGATGAGGGAACAATATCAGAAAAGTTTAGTAGTTTGTATGAAGTCACACAACAAGTTAATGGCAAAAGCCATATTTCAAACCCCAATCTAACGGGAAAATCTGTTCCTTTTCAGCCAGAATTCTTTTGAATAGGGACTCCTCATAAGCAGCAACTGAGCCATTATTTATAATAAAATTGAATTAAGGTTTCTCCTTAGCCCTGGGAGAGGTACATTAAAGAGGTTTTACTATAATTTTATAAATTCTCAAGGAGACAGGCAGCTTGATTTGCTTTAAGTTTTTTATTATTTTTTGTTAACATCATTCATAAATATGCACTACGTATACTCTCTCAATCTAGTCCCCTTGTCACCAAAACCATGTACTTACAAAACAAGTGTCTGGGGTGTACTTTAGATACCGAAAAGAGGGAACCTAACTAGCCCACATTTTGTGGTCACTCATGAAGAGCCCTACAAAATAATTCCTAAATCATTTACTGCTGTTATAGTAGTGAAGTTCTATAGCTGGGTTCACACTGCTGCTTTTGGAAATAGAGAGGAACCATTACTTAGAAAGCTCAAGAATCCCAGAGAGCCCTCTGTCCAGCAACCAGCCACTCCAATTCTAATTGAAAACCTTCCCCAGTCATGGAGTAGTAGAATCATCTTCAACTTACCACTGTCTTTTGGCCAAATCTAGCTACTTCTTCAATCTCAGTATTTTGCACATCTACCCATTCTCTTAAATTCACACTGTCAAGTCCTTGAGTCAATTACCTGTTTCTCTCTCTGCAGCTACATCTTTCTGGTTTTTTTTTTTTTGTCTTTTTCCGTGTCCAGCAACGGATCACAACCCTCAGTGTTGCCCCCATACAGGACCGGGGACCGGCAACGGGATTGCAACCCTCGGTGTTGCTCCCACGCCTCACTCAGCCAGTGAGCGGGAACCGGTCTGTATGTGGGATCTGAACCCTCGGGCGGGAGCGCCGCCGCGCTTCCCAAGCGGCACATTTATCCAGTGCGCCACCAGGCCGGCCCCCAGCTACATCTTTCTTACCTGAAATTTTGACCACCTTTAAAGTGCCTTGATAAGGCAGGTCACACAGATCTCAGTGAGCTAGGCAGTTTCAGGAGAAGCGGCACATTTATCCAGTGCGCCACCAGGCCGGCCCCCAGCTACATCTTTCTTACCTGAACTTTTGACCACCTTTAAAGTGCCTTGATAAGGCAGGTCACACAGATCTCAGTGAGCTAGGCAGTTTCAGGAGTGGCCAATTGCTACTAACAGTTGCCCAATAACAAGACTCTATTTCCAATTCACAGTCACTGGGTGTCAATTTGTATTCCCAGGAAAGAAGATTTGATTAGCCCAATTCTACCAAGGGTCCAATCAACCACGGCCAGGTGGGCAGGAGTCACAAAGTTGAAATATCCCTAAGAGTGACCTTTCCCTACTAATGAAGCAGGCAGTCCTAAGAGAAGACCCTAGTTGTTACCTACTATCCTAGACGATAAAGGAAGACTCAGTGAAACAAACAGGATATTGAGTTAACACTAATGCCAAGCCTAATAAAGGAACTTCAAATATAGGAAAGCTTGTCCTTGAGCATTTTGCACAAAGGGAAGTCAATTATTTAGTACCTGTTGTGCTCAGTGATTAAGTGAAGCCTAGAGGAAAGAATCAGAAGTGGTCTACAATGGAAATTGAGCAAATGGGAATAGAATGGGAATAGACCATCAGGTCAGGTCAACATAAGGTTGCTACTGAGGAAAGATCAATGGGATGAAAAAAAATAGACAGAGCCCCTATTTTCACTATTTGCTATCATTAGCCTCTCTGGATTTTTCTTCCTTCCCAGGTTTCAGCCAATGACCAGGATCATGTGAGTTGACCTAAGGTCACTAAGGATCTAGAGAGTGGTTTGGGGTCAGTAATTTATCCAATACAGAATAACTCAGTTGGAAACCCAGAGATTTACTGGTCCTGTACAGAAAGCTAAGGGACAGGAAACAGCAAGAATATACACAGAGAGGGTGGGAAGGAAAGGAGGAAACTAGGAGCAGCAACATGTTCACCATGTGCTTGCACAGCTTGACTATACCTATTGGCCAGCCTTGTCCACATCTGTCACTGGCATAACAGAAAACAAAATAATAGTAATAACTACACTGAAAGGGAAACTGAGTCCTGATAATATCTTTACAGGGGGAGGAGACAGCTTGCAAAAAAATAAATAACCTACTTGGAAAAATAACATATTTCTCTGTTATCTGTATCAGATTTTCTCCTCTCTCTACACTAAGCTTACTGTCATATCCATTGTCAAGAAAGTAGTCCCATATACAAAGGGACTTCAAAAAGTTTGTGGAAAAATAGAATTAAAAGAGAATATGAATCTTTCCATGAGCTTTTTGAAGTACCCTCATATTTAGAATATCCTATTCTTCACATTCTTCTTGTTGTTTATATAAAATTACGTTCTTGAGGACCTACTGCATGCCAGGCATTGCTCTAGTTATTGGAGCAGTGGAGAACAAAGTCAATATGGTCTTTGCCTTCCAGAAGCTTACGATCTAGTGGGGTAGACAAACAAGTAATTACACAAATAACTGTATAAGAACCTGGCAAATATGTAGAAAGGACGCCTAAGTACTTTGACTTCAATTTGAAAGTTTAAAATAAATCACCTTGATTTTCACTTACTTTCAGGACTTCTGATATTAGGTGCCAGGCAAGTACTTAATAATCTTCCCTTTCCTCTGTTCCATTACCAGCAATACTCAGACCCTGTTAGACATCAGCAGATTTTCCATTTCAATCTTCCACTTGACATATCATGATTTTTGAGTTTTTGAAATTTGATTGTAAGTTACCTGTGAAGTAAAACACATTTAATCATCTGCTTCTATTCCAGAATTGCTCATAGTAGTTGAAGGAATACTGATTAAAGGGTCCCACTATCATCAGAGAACTACTAGAGTTTTGTTATCTAATCTCTATTGTAATTCATATTAAAGATTTAGGATTTTTTTTTTTAAAAAGATGACCAGTAAGGGGATCTTAGCCCTTGACTTGGTGTTTTCAGCACCACACTCTCCCAAGTGAGCCACACTCCAGCCCTAAGGCCGGCCCTAAGATTTAGGAATTCTTAAAAGAAAAATTTACATATTATTTTCCTAGAAGCAACATAAAAAGGCATATGCTAATTCAGAAAAGTCAATATAATACAGTATATTATCAGTGTATTAGCTAGCTAATGCTTTTAGCTACAAGTAACAAAAATTCTGATTTAATGGAAATTTATCCTGTATAACAGAAATTTTGAGAGAGGGCAAACTTCAGAGCTGATAGATTCATAGCTCAACACTATTTTCAAGGATCCTGGTTATGCCCATGTCATGACTCTGT